CCAAGACCTTTCTTTAGACACCTCTACCGAGTTTCTACGCCCAGCCGTTCTCTCAAAATAGCTGTGACAAAGAAAAACAGTTTCAAATTAATATATAGATTAAATTTGGATTACTTGATCATTTGCTAACGTGCATAATAGAACCACGCTGTTTTGTGTTGTTTCGTTGGAATCCTCATGTGCGGCAAAGTATAAACCAAATCAAATCAAATATGCTTTATTCATAAAGTACAGTTTTGTACATTGAATGGCGTCAACTAAATCTATCTTAAATTAATAATTAACAAATCTGCATATCCTGCATCATTATATACATTAAAAACCAAGAACCAGGAAATGAAAATAATCGAAACTGAATTAGCCTAATTACTAACGCTAAGAGGGGAGGTGGAAAAATACTCTTCCAGTGAATATAACGCTTTCTCTACTAAATAAAGTTTTAGTTTTCTCATGAAATTCTTCCTGCTTTGTTCATTTCTGATTTCATTAGGAAGATGCTTAAAAATTTTTAATCCTATATAGGATGGTTTTTTTTCATATAATTTTAATTTGTGTTTACTTGAAATAAGGAATTTTTTATGCCGAGTGTTGTATGGGTGATAATTTGTCTCAGAGGTGCTCAAGCGGGTTTTTGCTAGAATAATTGTGTCGTAAATACATTGGCAATATACCGTTAAAATTTTCAGTTCTTTGAATTTGTTTTCGGTCGTTTCGTTGTGTTCTAATTTCAAAATTATTCTTATTGCTATTTTTTGAAGTTTAAGTATCCTATCCAAATTTGCTATTGTAGTTGAACCATAAAGGCACAAACCATAGGATAAATGTGAATGGACATTAGCATAATATATGATTTTTAATGTTTTATGGTTACAAAAATAAGACATTCTAGAGAGTGAATATAGTCCTGAACATAATTTTTAAAATGAGTTTATCAACATGTTCATCCCAGTTTAAATTTTGGTCCACAATTAGACCTAGAAACTGTGTACTGTGTTTATGTTCAATTTCTTCTGCATTATATATGATATTTGGTTTAACTAACTTTTTGTTTTGATTTGTTTTAAAAGTTAAAAATTATTTTTCTTTGGATTAAGCTTCAATTTGTTTTGCTCTAGAAAGTTTCCAATGTTTGCCAATTCAACAAAACTTAAAATTTCAACTTGTTGCACTGACTCAGCCGATACTTTGAGATTTGCATCGTCTGCATAAAAACAAAGATTGTTCTGAGGCAAACATGAGAGTGCACCACCAGCATCATTTATATAACATAAAAACAACAGGGGGCCAAGGATTGACCCCTGGGGTACACCACATTTAACCCTTTCAGTTTGAGAAGAATATGTTGTAATTGTGTTATCATGATTGCGTGTGATTTCTACAAACTGACAACGATTATTTAGGTATGACTGAAACCATTTTATTGATTTTTTTGTAACCCCTAAAATGAGTAATTTATCTATCAGTTGGGTGTGGTTGACACTATCAAATGCCTTAGTTAGGTCCATGAAAATTCCAATTGTGAACTCCCCTTTATCAACCGATTCAATTATAGATTCTATGAATGACACTGCTGCTGTAATTACAGATTTTCCAGGCCTAAATCCATGCTGAGTATTGTTTAATAGTTTAAATTCTTCTAAATAATTTAATAACTGGCAGTTTTTTCATACATTTTTGATATTACTGGTAGGAGAGAAATAGGACGGTAATTTGACACAGTTTCTAGGTCGTCTTTCTTATAAATTGGTATTATTTTAGATTTTTTTAATTGATTTGGAAAAATTCCTGATACGAAAGATGAATTTATTAAATGACTTAAAATATGGCTCAGACATTTTTTGGCATGCTTTATAACTTTAATAGGGACATCATCGTGTCCAACAGAATTTTTGTTTTTTAAAGAGTTAATTACTTTTTCCACCTCCTCCGCATCAATAAATTTAAAATCAAAACCTCTTTTAAAACATTGCACATTTTCAATAAGACTTTGATTTTCAATCTTGCTCTCACATTGGTTGCCTCTGACATCCTGATCAACATTAGTGAAATATTTGTTGAACATGTTAGCAATAGTTCTAGGATCACTTAAGCTACAATTTCCCTATTCCAAAGTAATATTTTTATTTCTTGTTCCCTTTCCTTTCCCAACTTCAGAATTTATAATCTGTCATACTGTTTTTTGTATATTGGCTGATTTTTGTATTTTATTTTCAAAATAATTTGTTTTAGCTCTGACTAGTTTTGCCCTATATTTCAGTTTGTTTTGTTTCAACTCGTATTTCAAGGCAGGATTTTTGTTTCTACGAAGTTTTAAGGCCAATTGTAGTAGTTCTTTTTTTCATTTTTCAGGTCTTCTGAGATCCAATTTTGTTTGTGTTTCTTTTCTGTTACAGTAATTTTGGGAAACGAAATGTCAAAAAAAAAAAATTCTTAAATGTACTATAAAATTCATCATATTTTCTTTCAACAGGAGCCATGTAAACACTCTCCCAAATCTCAGTTTCCAAGAGGTTTTTAAATAAATTCAATTTTTGAATATTGAAGTTACGAGTTGTACGTTTTATAGTTGATTGAACCTCTTTTGTATTATTTAGGTTTTTATTTTTTATAAGGAGCATTTGCACATCATGATCTGACAGACAAGTTACAATTCCCTCAACAGTTACCTTGCACTCATGACAGTTTTTAATTATAAAGTTATCAATTGCTGATTCAGATTCCTCAGTAACTCTAGTTGGGAAATTGACCAGATACCTCATTTTATGAACTTTTAGTGTTATTTTTAGTAATTTATGATTAGGGTTATTTTTTAGAACATCAATGTTTATATCCCCTCCTAAAATTATGTTAACAAACTTTTTGGAAAAGTGGGAAATTAACATGCTTAACCCTATACTGCATAATTTTTTCAAATGAGTTAAAAAAATTATTTTTGTAATCCCCATAGGGCAGTTATAACAGGAAAAATAGTCAAAAAAATGTATCTTCAATATTATTCATTATTTTTACATTTTTTTTAATTGGCTCATTTAAGGCGCTTTATGCACTGGCGGTACAAATGTCTAATTTATTGTTGGTCCAAATATGGCACATGATGCATTTAAATTATCAATGACTAAAAAATCTAGATACAAGGAAATCTGGAAAAATAACACAGATTTGAATTTTTCTTTTATTGAAAACCAAGTAATAACCTAACCTATGGTAAACTTTGCATTATAAATGGCAAAAAGCAAAAAAAGTCATGTTTACTCTAATTTGACAATAATACAGTTTTGTAAAAAAGCGCATTGATACTTCTCTAAAACAATGAGTTTCGTCCCTTGTCACATTTACTGGTTATGGAACTTGTAGAAGCAGTTTTTGTCTTTATTGAGGCACAAGGTAAGGTTACACTTGGAACAATTCACATAACTTCTGCTCTCACAGTCAGGTAACTTGCATCTTAGTCTGTTGTTGTTCCAGATTGGCCAATGCCCTGTTTGGTCTTTTCTCACTTCTTTGGGTGGAAGAGCAGAAACATGAGGCTTCTTAGACTTGGTTAGGAGAGCGACATCTAGCTCTGTGCTTGGTCTTCCTCGCTTTGGAGTAATATTTGACCCTAATCTGCACATTGTAATAGCGACAGATTCTCTAAATTCTGCAAGAGGCATTATATTGATATCACCCCTGTCCCTACAGACTCTTTGATATAACAACCAGCTATTGCACATTGTTACATCCAACAAATGGTAGAAAAGTCTAAGGTACCATTTTCTAGTTTTCATTCTAATTTTGTACCTTCCAATAATAGAGTTAATTTTGTCCACTCCTCCCATGTGTTGGTTGTAGGATTTTACAACTTGAGGGCAGTTTACCTTCTGGATGACTTTTTTCTTCTTGCAAAACCTGTCAACTTGCTCTTGTTTACCAATACCTACAAAGGAGGACAGTAAAGTTACATACTTGTTGTCTTTCCAGACAACACAAGACACTTCAACCTCATCTACTTGAACACAATTTTCAGCTGAGAAACCCCGTTCTTTTTCTTTTAGTTCCGTTTCCGATGGGAGTTTGTTTCCTGGTATTCTGTCCCTTCTGACTGTTCCCAATGCATGTATATTCTTCTTCGCTAGATGCACAATAAGTGGCAGAGAGGTATAAAAATTGTCAAAATATATTTGATGATTTTGTGGTGAAACACATCGAGTTAGACGTACTACCACATTGGCACATGACCAAAGATCAGGCTCACCTGGAAGTCTAAGGGTTTCGTCGTTTTCTTGACCAGTATATATTTCAAAATCATAAGCAAAGCCACTAACTCCACTCAAAACGTAAATCTTGTACCCCCATTTGTGGGGTTTTTTTCGGTAGGTACTGCCTAAGATAGTTCTTTGCCTTGGTTGCACACATTTGCTCATTAACACATAGCTTTTGTTCCAGTGCAACCGATTTGAATTTCGATCTCAACTCCTCCACAACAGGTCTCAATTTATAAAGACGATCGTGTCCTGGCTGACCTCTTGGAATAGCTTTGTGATTATCACTGAAGTGAAGTATACTCCTTATGAACTCGAATTTGTTGACTCCCATTGTTTCTATTATAGTTTGGTTTCCAATACTATCTTTCCAGTAGTTACGAACATTCGGTAACCTAACAATTGACATCATTATTAATATTCCTAAAAACTTTTGAAGTTCTAGCAAAGTCACACTCTTATTGGTGTTTGGATCTTGTTGTACTAAATATAAGTTTGATTCTTGCGTAATATTTCTCATAAGAGTATCATTGAAGAAGTATTTAAAAAAAGCATAAGGGGTATCTAGTGTCATGATGTCTTCCGACAACTTTTCATTTTCCTTGTCAAAAGGAATTTTCTTACTTAAGATGCTAGCATGCACCCAAGGTATCTTAGGCTTGTCCTTTTTATTCTTAGTCTTTTGTTTTCCTTTTTTCTTGCTCTTGGTTTTTCCTGTTTTTTTCGCTCTTACTTGTTTTGTCTTTTTTCCAACTGTTTTATATTTTTTTCCTCCAGTTTTACATTTAGATTGTTTTTTTTTAAACACCAGAAGTACTAGGCTGAGGGCTTCTTTCAGGTGGCTGAGGGCTTTCAGGTAGTTGTAAGTGTTCAGTTGGCAATGTGCTACTAGACGGTAATACTTCTTCAGGTTCTTCATCACTTGATGATTCTAAAGCCGATGGGTCGGGTCTTGAAAAAACAGGAAGACAAGGTCCCTTTTTACGACATTCACCATCCTCGTCACTGCTGAGAATGAAATCTGGGTCAGCGTCCACATCATCCAGGTCTATACTGCAATCGGAGAGGGGAATCAATGCCTCTATCTGAGAGTCGGTCAAAATTTCATCCATAATCTGAAAAGAAACATATAAATTAGCTTATGTGTAATAAAACATCTTTAGTAGGCCTATTACTATTTATGAAAAGTTGTGTTTAAAAATTAGCACCGGTAGCCTTAAATTCATAGTGGAACATATATGGCTCAATTAAAAAAAATGAAATGAAAAACTTAAATGCACAGTGGTACATATATGGTCCAATCAAAAAATTATAAGTTACACACTAACTGCATGGTTTTCCATATGTGGACCATTTAAAAATTGGTAATTATCTCCTAGGTAACTAATAAATTTGTAGGTTTAAACATAGTAAAATGTAACTACATACCTTAGGGAACATGAATCAAACATTGGTTTCCATCAGGAATCGATAATCACTCTATTATCAATCTTCAAAACAAGGAAAATTGTGAAACAGTTGTTGGTTATGCCGCCATTTGCAATTTGGGATGAAGAAATACTGTGCTGCAGTCTAGTGGGCATTTTTGAAGGTTATACCAGCTGTTGGATGTACCAGATATGGTTTGCCATGCATTAAAGATTGACAAACAATTTTTTAACCAAAAAATATAATAAAGAAATGGTTGGATCATAAATGATCCACGACGCCACCCTTGAAACATGTTTCTCTACAATAAAAATTATTCACATCAAAATCTTGTATATTGAGTCTGTTAATTTCATTTTCCTTCATATCGTGTTCTGTTAAGATTACAATATGAGGAGTTAATTCATTTATAGTCACTAATAAAGGTTCGATCCGTGAAGGTAAGTGCTGAATATTTTGATGGAATATTTTTATTAAATTTTTTTCTGTACGTTTTTGTTGAGATCATTATTACTGTTGGGTTTAAAGTGGGAGCGGGAGTCGCCATTACAAATCATGTTGCTATCACTTGTATTGGAGCTTTCAATAAAAAAACAGAGACCACTTTTTTACACTTTCACTGCACTCTGGGCCATCAGGAACCATTTTCTTCAAGCTGGAATTCCTTCTGCAGTTGTCATTTGGTGTTGACGTCATTGGACATAAGGGTGGAAATTCACTCATTGAAGAGAAGCTAGGCGACTGGACACAGTTTGACGATGTCTTCCTCTGACACTTTTGAGAGACAGCATCAGGCGAGATCCCTTCAGTGATCTGTAAAGTCTGAAGTTGATTGGAGATGTCATCACGCAAATTCTTGATGAAATCGTCATGTGTCTTCCCATTTCTAATCACAGTGTTAGATTTTTTTAATGAGACACTATTTCTACAGATGCTCCTGTACTCCGCTGAAACTCACAAATACTAGTGGCAAATTTGTCAGTTCCCATCTTAACTCGTACAGTCCCAATCGGAGAACACACCAATCTTTTTAATCCCCTTTTTTGAAGTCTTCAGCGAGTTGCTTGAAGGCAAGCTTATAGTCTTCTATCTTTGGTTTTGCAAAGTACTAACTGGGGTTTGGTCACAAGGGAGTAAACTACAGCTTTTCCTGGTGATCTTTGTAGGGTTAAATGGCTGCTCAGGTAATTTGATTTGAAAGGTCTTCCGTACTTTTCCCTGAAAACAACGGCGACTCCGGCTGTCATATTACGCCGGCAATTCAAGTCTGCAGAAATACTATGTGCAAAGGCAACCTCCTCATCGGCCCCGTACTTGTGGATTAGATTCTTCATATTCGTTTCATTTATTGTGAAATGGTTATTGATAACCCATTTTTTCTTTTCCATACTATGATTTATGACCTTTAAGATCATTTGGGCTACTCTCTTTTTCCCTCCTTGATTTAGGTGTAATCCATGTCGACTGTAATGATGACGTTTTAAAAAGTCAAGGTCAATCAGATACAAATTAACTGATCGAACAGCCAGCTCCCTAATGTAGTTGTTCAGAAGCTTGATATCATTATGAATTGGGTTATTGATGCCCATGTCATATCGAGTGGGGATTGTGGAGAGTATTACCATTCCTTTAGTTTTTGTAGTCAGTTCCATCAGCCATTTTTCAAGGTTTTTAAAGAGGTAATTGAGGTTGTCTTTAAATGTGTCGTTTGTTCCTGCCAGAAGAACAGTTACATCTGTGTCATGTGTCGAGAGTAATGCTGACTGAGCAACTTGCTCAAGTGTGGCGTTAGGCATCACAAGAGCAGTAGTTTTAAGCTCTTCCTGACTGTATCCTATTGCATCAAACTGTTCACAAAGATCTCTTCCTTGGCTATCGGAAAAGAGTGAAATGCTTGTTTTTCTCCCCAGCTTTGTACATGATGCTTTGACTTAATTCTTCCCCGACTTGTTATGTATTTGTCTGAGTGGTGTATTCTGACTGCAGTTAGTTGTTTCAGATTTAGTTTCCTCGTCCAAACTGGAGAGAATACTAAAGTGGTTTGAGGTCTTAAGAGTTTTTTTTATGTTCAGTATGATTATTGTAGTTAAGTCTAGAAGTTTTTTTTATTTTTACGAATCTTTGTTGTTACAATATTCCACACATTAGTAGAAGCATTTGTGGATTCTGATGTTGGGTTTTTGTTTTCTCCAATGTTGTTGTCCTGTATTTCATGTTCATTGCATGTTGTGTCAGTGCAGAGAACGATTTTTGTATTGAAAAGAGCAACCAAATCTTCAGTTTTAATGACACTTCTGTTGTTTATTGTATAAGCAAATAATGATCGCTTAGATATGAGGTCAGTTTTGTCTAATGATTCTGATAGAAGAGTGAAAATTTAAAAACGGGGACGATGTCCTTTTTTAATTTTACAAGTATTTATTCTCTCCACATATTTATAATTTTTTTCCTACAGTCACCCGACAAATTTGGCTTCCTTGTACTGTTTATAGTACAGAAAGCTGCTAATTTGCTGCATATTTAATATTTATACTTTGCCGTACGGTTTATACTTTGTCGTACGGCTTCCCTAGTAGCACAAATATATATTAAATACATATGAATAAATATATTTAAAATCTATTTTATATATCTCAAGTGTGTATTAATGTCAATTATATATAAAATATTTAAAATATATTAAATATAGACTATAAAAAATATGTTTTTGAATCTATTAAATATTTAAAAAATATTTTCCAATAATATATTTTAGTGAATAATATTTAAATAAAAAATGTATTTAATATCACTTCCAAACATCCAATGGGGCCTAAACATAAAAACACAAAATAATAAAGATTTAGTATGAAAAGCACAATTATTAGTTGAGTAAATTGATTAAATAATTCACAAAAACAAATTTTGAAAAAATTACTGGATAAAATTTTTTCGGCCCGGATGGGTCTCGAACGTGGGTCCTTCTCCTTATGAACCTCTTACTTTACCTCTGAGCTATTTGTGACTGTTGATAGAATAGGTTTTCAAATGATGAAAGAGTGGCCGTCAGTTGCAATGGTTGCAATACTTGAAATATTTTTGATACCAGTACTACAGTATAATATGATTCTGTTAATCTGTTTTGGCATCAAGTAGTTGAGTTAAATAGTGCTGTAGTGAATAGTGAGTAGTCTCCACGAATACAAATACAGTAAACTACAAAAACTAATTCAAATACTATGACAAATATTATGTAATTTATGGCATATGTAAATCAAATGATTATTTTTAGAACGTCATATACAACCGTAATTAGTTTCTTAAAAGGTCGTCAGTCACTAGCACCCTTTTCAAGCCAATCATTCGAGATTTCTATGATCACATTCATTGTCACATATTGCAATTTAGAAAATAAAACCCATCAACACTTTTTTTCATTTGACCCACATGTAGCTGTCGAACATGTATACTGCCTCTTAACTATATGCGTAATTTTTTCTTTACGTGCATGATAGACTGACACCATTCAGAGTTTGTATTATTATTTACTTAATTTTAACGCTTTCACAATAGCAATTACAAAAAATGCATGTAGATAGACACTATAAAAAACAATACCCCCGTCGCAGCAAACCTGCATACTAAGCGAATTTCCATTTACCCGGCTTGATTTCTACTAAAATATTCCCTAAAAATTTACAGATTTATATCCTATTTAAATAACATTAATTTTAGTGAGTAGTTAGGTTTGCTGCTACGGGGAAGATGTTGAGATGTGTTTTTTCAATTGAAATATTGATAGCTTAGTATGAAATAAGCCAAATTGCCAAATTTGATTACTTAAAATATATCCATAAACAAGCAAACTAGAACAGTTTATTTATTCTCCATAAGAATAACATGGGAATTTTAAATTTACAATTTTTTGAATTTTCTCCGTAGTCAATGAACATTCAAAAAAACTTCAATATACTAAATTATTTGTTTTTTTAAGCTCTTCAAAATGGTCTAGAGAGAAATTTAGAAATTTAAAGTTTTTAGGGGCAAAAATGAGAAAAACCCATTTTTACCCCATAAAACCCCCCATAAACCCCTGATCCCATGGTCCGATTATGCTGGTTCGCGAACTCGTTCGAATAAATGTAGGTTTACACGTTTGTACCAAATTTCATCGAAATCGGGTCAATTTTGCTCGAGTTATCGCGCTAACGGACACATATATAAATATATATATATATATATATATATAAATATATATATATATATAAATATATATATATATATATATGAATTTGAACGGATGGTGTTTTTGGCCTCTGGGGACCTCAAAACGAAAAAGTAAATCGGTCCCGGGTCAAGGTCTTACCATGAGACCTACGGTAATAGCTTATTCCCTATATGGGAAATTCGCTAAAAAGATGCCAATTATTCATTTGCTAATTATAATAGATTATAGGCTATATAGTATACAAATAAATTATTATTTTATTATTAAAAATATCTTACGTGTTTCAGAATATATTTATAAATACTTTAAATATATAATATAGTTTCAAAAATATTTTATATATATATTTAAAATAGGCCTATACTCAACACATAATTTTTTTAAATATTTAATAGGAAAAATATACATATAAGATATGTATATTATAGATTCTATACTAATTTTATCAATATATATTATGAATCTATTTTATATATTCAAAACTTATATTTAATTTGTATTTTGCTTTGCTTTTTGGTAATATTTAAAATATATATTTGAATATATCAAACTATTATTAAAGATATATTATTTATATATTTTATTTGAGGTTCTATCAAATACAACTTTAAATATATAAAATATTTATATAATACATATTTGTGCTACTAGGGTTATACTTTGCCGCACATCAGGATTCCAACGAAACAACACAAAACAGCGTGGTTCTATTATGCACATAATCCGTATACGCTTGGAAATAGGTTGGCAACACTTAAAGATAATTATACTATGAGCAGCTGATTATCGCAGACTACAAGATCGCGCCACTCATCCTACACTCATCCTTCACTCATATTTGGGTTAAAATACGCACATAGTGGCGTCCCCATCTTAAATAATTGATAATTGATAATTGATA